AGATTGTAGCGTCCACATCCTTTCCTTCAGAGTCTGAATCCAGTTTCTGATTTGTATCAGAAGGTGTGACAGCCATCTTACAATTCTTCAGATCAAATCTCTTCAGAAGTTCTAATTCATACTTGAGCTGATGCAAAATGATACCTTTCTCAGAATATCTGAACTCCATCCCTAGAAAGTATGTCATTTTGCCTAGATCAGTCATTTCAAACTCATTCATTAGAACCTTCTTGAACTTGGCTATCTCCTGTTCAAAACTTCTAGTCAGCAGTATATCATCAACATATAAACATACCAGAGTCATATTGCCTTCAGAAGTATGCTGAACATAGACACCGTACTCCATCTCACATTTCTGAAAGCCTTGCTTCTTGAAAAATGAATCAATCTTCTGATTCCAAGCTCTGGGCGCTTGTTTCAATCCATATAGAGCTTTGTATAATCTGTACACCATCCCTTCCTGATTCTTTTTCACAGACCCAGGAGGTTGTGACACGTAAACTTCTTCTTCTAATGGACCGTTCAGAAATGCAGATTTTACATCTAAATGCATCAGAGGCCAATTCCTGTTAGCAGCTATTGCAATCACCATTCTGATTGTTTCATGTCTTGCTACAGGTGCAAACACTTCAAAATAATCCAGCCCATGTTTTTGTAGAAATCCTCTGGCTACCAACCTTGCTTTATGTTTGCCAATTGAGCCATCTGGCTTTAACTTCTGCTTGAAAACCCATCTGACGTTGATGGCTTTCTTGTCTTTTGGAAGTTCTGTCAGCTTCCAAGTCTTGTTTCTCTCTATAGCATCAAGTTCTACTTTCATGGCCTTCAGCCAGAGCTTCTGCTTAAGAGCCTCCTCTGTACTTATAGGTTCAGAGTCTACTAACATGGCACACTGAATAACTTCTCCTTCAGAGTCTACTTCAGTGTCTTGCAGCATGTCAAATTCTGCAAATCTTCTGGGAACGCTTCTGATTCTTTGTGGTCTCTGAACTTGTTCAGAGTCTTGAGCTTCAGAGTTTCCAGCTTCAAATGGTTGACTTCCTCTAGAGCTTTGACCATCTTCAAGATCTGACATATTTTCAGAGTCTTGGCCATCTTCAGAGTCTGAATTTCTACCAGAATCTGAATTACCATCAGAGTCTGGATCATCAGAGTCACCTTCATCTTCTGAGTCTTCTCCAGAGTCAGAATCACTATCAGAGTCAGAATCAACGTCAAAGTTTACTTCAACTTTAGAAATTCTTAACTCTGACCTTTCTTCAGAAGTTCTAACATCAGAATCAGATTGAGATTTATCCCAATTCCAAACTTCTGATTCCTTCACAATCACATCTCTGCTGAATTCAATTTTATTGGTTTCTGGACAATAGAGCTTGTATGCACCTGTATTGTGGTACCCTATCAGAATCATCACTTTGCTTCTATCATCCAGCTTCTGTCTTCTGGCTTCTGGAACATGTTTATAGCAAACAGAACCAAATACCTTCAGATGACTAACACTTTGCTTGTCTCCAGTCCACTTCTGCATAGGAACTATTTCCTTCAACTTCTTCGTAGGACATCTGTTGAGTATATACGTTGCAGTGGCAACAGCTTCTCCCCAGAGCTTCTGAGGAAGCTTCTTCTCCTTTAGCATGCTTCTCACCATATCAAGCAAAGTACGGTTTCTTCTTTCAGCAAGACCATTGTGTTGAGGGGTATAAGGAGCAGTAACCTCATGCTCAATTCCATTCTCCTCACAGAACTTCTGGAACTCTTTGGAGTTATACTCACCTCCACCATCAGTTCTAAGAATCTTCAACTTCTGACCACTCTGATTCTCAGCCTTCATTCTGAACTTCTTGAATTCATCAAACACCTCATGTTTAAATTTAATAAGGGATACCCATGTCATTCTTGTGATTTCATCAACAAACAACACAAAGTACTTATTCCCTCCAATTGATGCTACTGGAAATGGACCACACACATCAGAATGTACAACTCCCAAGGCATGTTTTGCTCTTGGAGCAACTTCTGACGCAAATGGCAAACGTGGTTGTTTTCCTTCCATGCAAACTTTACATGACTTCTCAGGCTTCTTAATTGCAGGAATTCCATGTACCAGCTTCTTTGAATTCAGATGTTTTAGGCTTCTGAAATTCAAATGACCAAATCTTCTATGCCACAACTCACTCTCCTTCTCAGCACATGTTGCACTAAGATATTCTGAGTCTACAGTTCTGACATTCACCTTGAATGTTCTATTCCTTCCCTGTTTTGACTCCATAATCAACTTCTGATTGTAGTCATACAGCTTCAGAAGATTGTCCTTCATGGTAACTGAAAAACCTTTCTCAATTAATTGTCCCACACTCATCAGATTGCTTCTGATGCCAGGTACATACCACACGTTCTGAATCAATGTTGTTTTCCCATTGTTCAGAGTCACTCTGACATTTCCCATACCTTCTGCATTAAGATATTTGTCATCAGCACATCTGATCTTTGTCCTCTTTTCAGAGTCAAAGTCAACCAGCCATTTCTTGTTTCCAGTAAGATGATTTGAACAGCCAGTGTCCATATACCACCAGTCTGTCAGATCATCAGATTCAGAGGCCATCAATAGCACAGATTCGTCATCATAACTTCTGGCTATATTTGCTTCTTCTGATTTCTTCTCCTTGTTTGACCAACAATCTCTAGCAAAGTGACCAAACTTCTTACAACAGTAACATTGGATCTTCTTCTTGTCATACTTCTCTTTTCCATTCTGAGCATTCTTTTGTCTATCAGAGGTTGAGCTTTCTGACTTCTGACCACCATCAGATCTTCTCTTGGCTTCTGACTGCTTCTGATACCTCCTATCAGAAGTTGCTTTCAGAGCCTGCTGCTCTACTTCCCTTTCAGAAGTTCTCTCAGTCAAACGCAACTCTTGCGCTTCTAAACTGCTCTGCAGCTCTTCAATTCTCATGGTACTCAGATCTTTGGAATATTCTATTGCTACCACAATGTAATCAAATTGAGAGGTAAGGGATCTCAATACCTTTTCCATGATTGTTTCTTCAGAAAGAGTTTCTCCACACGCCTTCATCTCATTAGTGATCAGAATCACTCTGGAGATGTATTCAGAAACTTTCTCATTATTCTTCATGTTGAGATTCTCATATTGCTTTCTCAAGGACTGAAGCTTCACCTTCTTCACTGATGCGTCACCACCATAACATCTAACCAGTGTGTCCCACGCAGCCTTTGTTGTCGTTGAATCTGCAATCTTCTCAAACACATTTACATCAACACATTGATGAATAAAGAATAATGCTTTCTGATCCTTCTTCCTTACTTCCTTCTGCGCGTTTTTCTGTTCATCTGTTGCATCTGCTGCTACCGGAACATAACCATCAGTGACAAGATCTAAAACATCTTGAGCACCAAACAGTACACGCATTTGGATCATCCAACGATTCCAGTTTTTACCGTCAAATACTGGAAGCTTGGTGTTCATGTTGCCGTTTCCGTTCATCTTCACCTTGCACAATACACTCAGATTTCTCACACAGTGTTTCCCAACCCACAGAATAAAATTCTGATCAGATTTTGTTCAAGATTTAACACGAATCTAAGAATCAAAATCAAACACACAAGACCTCACGTTCACTCGTGTTTCCCGTGTTTCCCAATGAATCTGAACCGGAGCTCTAGATACCAATTGTTGGTGCAAAGGTAGAATAAATGATGAAAAGGAGAAATATTCTATTAAGAATGACGGCTACAAAACATGATAAAAGTTACAATGATTGTCACCCTATTTATAAGCTAAAACTAGGGTTACTAGAATAAGATAAAATACTAAAATACCCTCTAACAAACTTAGGGGCTAAGGAAAATAGTACAACTAAATATGAATTACTATTAATATTCTAATATATATATATATATATATATATATATATATATATATATATATATATATATATATATATATATATATATATATATATATATATATATATATATATATATATATATATATATATATATATATATATAATTTTTCGAGAGGTAGATCATAGATCTTCAAACAATGATAAAGATAAATAGTTTTCGTGCAATCCACCGGGGATGCATTATAATTTCTTCAAGAACTATATAAATTATTATTTTTCTATCATTCAGGAATCTTGATTAGTTCTCTAAAAACTCTATAATAAATTATTATTTTGCTATCCTTCAAGATGCTTGATAAGTTCTTCACAAACTATATAATAAATTATTATTTTTCTATCATTCTGGGATATTTGTTAAGTTCTTTAGGAACTATATAACAAACATATTATTTTATAGTCTTTCAAAAATATTTTAACATTATTTATCCAATTCTTCTGGGATGCATGAAAAATATCGTTGATTTTTTTTATTCTAACCAATATATCAATACATAATTGGCATAATTAGAAATATATTTTACGAAACAAAAGAACACATTCTTCCAAGTTTTTTCAATCCATCATCTCACGCCAATAACCCTTCCAAGACTCAAATGCATTTCACTCTTAAATTCTTTCCCCCAACAAACCTCAAGAAACAACAACATTAAACAAATCCACGCCCAACTAATCACCAACAACCTTAATTCCCCCAAACTCTTTGCCAAATTAATCGATCATTACTCTTCCACTTCACCAAACCCTAACTTTCTCTACTCCATCTTTTACTACTTTCATACCCCACTTTTATTTCTCTTCAACACTCTCCTTAAATGCACCCCTCTTAACCACTCAATTCACATTTTCAAAACCTACTTCTCAAAACAACTCATTCATTTTGATCACCACACTTTCAATTTCATCCTTGGTGCTTCTGCTCGTTCTCCTTCCTATTCGACGTTAAAATTAGGAACACAGTTGCACTCCTTAATCATAAAACAAGGTTTTGGTTCCAATGTTTTGATTCCAACTACGTTGATTCATTTCTATGCTAGCAATAGAGATGTTAAGTCAGCACGTAAGGTGTTTGATGAAATGTCTGACAGAACTGTTGTCACGTGGAATGCTATGATTACTGGTTATTGTTCCGTAAAAGATGCAAATGGAAAAAATGCTGTGGATGGGTTGTGTTTGTTTAAGAAAATGTTGATGGTTGGTGTGAATGAAGTTAGACCGAATGGTAGAACCGTGGTTTGCTTGCTTTCTGCGGCTTCTCAATCAGGTATGATGGAAGTCGGTGTCTGCTTACACGGGTTTGCGGTGAAGCTGTTGTGTAAGGTTGAAGAGGATGTGTTTATAGGGACAGGACTTGTTGATATGTACTCGAAATGTGGCTGTCTTGAGAGTGCTTTGTATGTTTTCTGGCGGATGAAATTGAGGAATGTTTTGACTTGGACTGCCATGACTACCGGGCTAGCTATTCATGGGAGAGGGGAAGAGGCATTGGAGATTTTGTATAAGATGGAAGATGATGGCGTGAGGCCGAATGAAACGACTTTTACGAGTTTGTTGTCCGCTTGTTGTCATGCAGGGCTTGTTGAAGAAGGACTTCGGTTATTTCGTGATATGGAACCGAAGTTTGGTGTAGTGCCTCGGATACAACATTATGGTTGTGTTGTTGATCTTCTTGGACGAAACGGAAACTTGAATGAGGCTTATGATTTTATCATGGCAATGCCGATTAGTCCGGACGCTGTGATTTGGAGGAGCTTGCTCAGTGCTTGTAAGATTCATGGGGATGTTGTGATGGGAGATAAAGTGGGAAGGTTTCTTCTAAAGTTTAAAGAGAAAAGTCATGAAGATTTGGCTCATAAAAGTGAAGATTATGTTGCTTTGTCAAATGTCTATGCTTCAGCAGAAAGATGGAATGATGTTGAAGTTGTAAGGAACAAAATGAAGACTAAGGGTATTTTTAATAAATCTGGTCTTAGCTCAGTTCAAACTTTGAACAATGATGCATTGTAATTAACAATTGATATTGGATTATTATTTTATGAAAGAATAGTATGTTAGCAAGACAATAATTTTGAACAAACTGTCACTTTCCGCGATTCACGATTTATTGTTGGGCCGTGCTATATTTTACCATCAAAATCTGCACCAACATGGAATGGAAAAAATCTTATCCCTGATATTAGGGAAACTTTAGAGTGCTAGTTGGTAACATGTCAATCAATTTTGACTGGTGATCAAACTGAGATAAACCATTCGTGTTTTGCTTGCAGAAATAATGGAATTGCAGGCCAAATTTGAGGAAGATAAAAAACGTCTGCAACAGCTGAGAGCTGCCAGAAAATTTAGACCTTATTAGTTGATGTTGATAGCAGCCAATGTTGATTGTTCTTTTCTCTGAGAGAGGGGATTATATTTATGAAGTCCTGAAGTTGAATTATCCTATTTTTGTTATTCCAATTTTGTGGAAAATATTTGTAAATGTAAATTTAATTTGAAAGTTTCTCGTGGAAGTAGTTATTCTAATTTGATAGTTATTCTAATTTGATTTATATTTCTAATAAAATAATTGTGCAAATTAAGGTGTTCATATTTTCATGTTCAGTATTACTATCTAGTTTTTAATATAAAAAAAAATTCACCTTTTAGATTCATCAAAGAGTCAACGTATCGGAGTATATGTAATCCAAATAAATTGATTGTTCAATGAATTTAAAAAGTAATTTTTTTCCTTATATTAAGGAATCCTTCAGACTTATCAAGACATTACATCCACAGGTGGAATGTTCTCTATTCAAGAGGTTTGAAAGCCTTGAAGCAGGATGGTGATCCCATATTTTGGTTCTCCGTCTATCCCCGGTGGTACTTCTATCTTCGAAGATTGGTCGAGATGTTTATCTCGAGATGTTTATTTCATCTCTGTCTGTTTTTGTCAACATCAGCATACGCATAGCATATAGATAGACAGCACAGCATGTGCATTTCTTTGCATTCTTTGTGTTTGTTTTATTCTATCACTTTGGCTATAGTTATCCCTAGGTGTTTGGGTGTGTCTTATCCCTCCAAATAGATTTGTCGACCCTAGGCAGGAAAAGCACAATGTTTCATTTTTCCCATGAAGTTTGACCCTCATGGAAGATGGTTATTTTAGTACAATTCCATTTGAGTTCATATCTCAATGGTCGAGTCTTGCTTGACAGTTTCTTTTCGGCTACTTCCCGAATTGAACCTCGGTTTTGGCGATCACATCGTGGACATCTCCAACCTTTGAACATGGGTTAAGTGTGCATTTATTTTGCGCCCTATTCCCCAGGAAGAATACTCATGAAGACAATAGCATTACAAGATTTTCTCGGACATCCATCTCTTTATTTGAGCAACTCGTTTTGATCAGGATCTTATTCAAAACGACAAATGAAATTTTCTACAAGACAGTTCATCATCAAATCATCGCTTCATAAATCCATCAGAAAAGTTTACCGAAGACAGTTACAGACGTTTCTCTTTATTTGAGAATTCACACATTTTTGCAACAACTAAGATATTTCTCAAGAATGACTTCCCCAGTGAGTTTCATCGCACAAGTTTATTTCCATCAAGTGACATTTCCCCGAAGATCCCCGGTGAAGCTTTACAACTACATCTACAATTTACATTTACATCTACAGGGTTCTACAACGAACAACAGGGTTCTACAACGAACTACATCTACAGGGTTCCCCAACGAACTACATCTACAGGGTTCTCCAACGAACTACATTTACAGTCCACAACGACATCTACAATCTAAAAAATTTACAACCCCCTGTGAAGATGCTCTCACGAGTTTTCATCATTTCGGGAAGAGACTGAGACCAGCTCACGGTTCCCATACCATGATGCTTGGGGAAGTTCTACAGCAGAAACTGAGACCAGCTCACGGTTCCCATACCATGATGCTTGGGGAAGTTCTACATCAGAAACTGAGACCAGCCCATAGCCTCCAGACTATGACACTCGGGGAAGTTCTACAACTACAACAACATTTTACAACGACATTTACATCTACATCTACAAACTACAGTGATTCCACCATCTACAAAATTGTTGACATTTCAGGCAGAGACTGAGACCAGCTCGTGGTACCCTTATCATGACGCTCGGGAAAGTTATACGTTTTACTATTTCAAGTTGAGTTCCAAAAAGAAAAGATATACAGAAAAACAAGAAAAACAAGAAAAATACAAATGAACCATCGACTCAATTCATTTGGATTATTACCAACCACAACATTATGGTGATAAGCATATCTTTCGACTACAAGCTTCTTTCCCATCACCATATCCCCGGTGTATGAGATATGGTTATACTTCTAGAGATTCCCCAGTGATGTTTGTTTCCTGTCCCCGCAGGGATTACCCGTTGTCAACCCTATTCTTCCCTTTATGTCATGCCTAGTTTGTTCCCTGTGACATTCTTTCCTCCACAGGACCCTATGTCTTGCATTCTCCTATCATTGCATATCATTTTCTTTCGATGGTTTCTTATGGCCAAAAAAATTCGTGCAGTGTTTATATTTAAGTCCCTCCTACCTCGTCGAGACGGAGATTTCAATCTCCATATCTCCGAATAGAAGTAACTTAAATAGGGGCATCTGTTGCACCCTAATTTTTGACCATAAGATCTTACCTCTTAACACCACCTCCTCGTTTTATCTTTTGCCTTTTATATGTATGTTTATTATAACTAACCAGTTGATGCAGGTGCAACAATGACAAGTGTAGACCCATACAGACAAGTATTTCAGGGCGCAAACATTTAAGGCCTATTATGTCTCCTATGGGGGGCTATCTCGCAGGCTGAATCGTTACTTCCAAAAGGAAATTGAGGACGTGCTTAATGGTGGTTTACGACCAATTTGTTTTGAGGTAATAAGATCACATAAGATTTGGTTCACATCAGAAAAAGAAACTACGTCATGGTGAAGGAGTGAATATTTGTTGCTGATTAAGCTATTGAGGAGCTCGTGTTGAAGTCGCCTTTCCCAGGGGTCTGACTGAAGAAATAATTACCGCTTCGTGTTTTTCTATTGCACATGACCAAATCATATGGCTAATTATTAGAGGATTGTTGTGAGCATTAATATTATAACAATAAGGAATTCAACAACTAAGCAGTGCAACGAGTGGACGTCTAATTTCCTAGTCCACTGCTTTTATTTTATCTGTGTTTCGCCAAGAAGGGTAGTTAAGGACATAATTTACGAAATGCCTTACATAAAGACAAGAATTTAATCAAGTGACCTGCATTGCGAACCGGAGCTTTGAAGAAATACAAGTCATAGAAGTAGAAAATATTAAATTAGAAGTTGAAATGATTACAACTTGACTACAGCTACACAACAGGAGGTCCATGTTCTCAGCGAATAAACCTTACATTAGAAAAAGGGAAGGGGGGCACTTCACAACTCCCCATTTGAATACCCATGTTACACAACCTATAATATCTGGTGGTTCATTTATGATCCCCACATCATCACAACACTATATGAGCAACTCGGTATTCACATACAACAAATTCATTATTGGAAACTAAGTCCTATATGACTTCACAATTATAAAAACAGTGAATTAGTACAATTATGAACCACAATCCAACACAAGGTAACATAATCCAATGTCAGGATTTACAGGAATTTCCTCATCTCCGAGACTGCACACTTCTTTCTTGGCTAACAAGGAGGTACACTTTAATTTAGAACCTTTGACATAACAACAGATGCGTCTCCCGTGCCCCACTCTTGAACAAAGTCGCACAATCCAGACCTCTTATGCTTACTAACTCGTTTGAAGCTACAAGATTAACAAATACAGTTAGCAGCTTTTGGTAGACACCAATAGAGATTCAGGAACATTTTAGAGCCAAGAGCAAAGTCACCGTGTTCGAACAAGAGTCATTTCAATGGTTGCACCGCAGTGTCCACATCTGGCTGCTGCAAAACAGAATCAATTCAAAACACCAATCTGAATTTAGAATTGAAACAGGTTACAGAACAAACTTTGAAGAAGAAAACTCAACACCAACAGCTCACATTCATAAAGCAAGCCTCCAACAATTAGTTTACCAAATATACGGACGATGTTACCGAAGAAGCTATGGATTAGAGTACAGGGAGAATCTCGAGTTCGTTTAGAAAAGAGGAAGAAAATCTATGTACCTTATCAGTTCTGCCAGTTTTTCCTGGAGAAGGATTTTCTTATCTCATGAAGGCATTAAGATCAAACAACTTCCCTTCGTAAACGGCAGCAAGGTTGTCCTCGTAATGAGACCAAGTTTTTCTAAAACCAGTACAACTTCTTCACCTTCAACATCTCTCAGCTTCCAATAGAAGAACAATTCCCTAGATTTCAGAAAGAGGTAAAAGGCTAGATTGCAACCCTCAACATAAACCTGCAGCAGAAGGAAATCATATTCACTGAAATGCTACCATTGAAAGTATTCAAAATAATGAGCCATTAATTATATCTAATGGATGAAATTATATCAACTTATCCCCACCTGATAACAATCCCATCTCCCATCAAAACATAGCCATAAATCCGGAAGAACCCCATGATACCGCCACTTCAAGACGATTTATTATTTAAAAACCCTGCAGTACAAGAATTCAAGAGAGGGGATGAAATGGCAAATGGTCTAATATGGACGGGAGACGGACCTGCAGACCAAGGTCTCATTTCGCTTAATGTTCAAGGTGCTTCTGGCATGTTGCCCTGGATGCAGTAGAAACTAGATCCAGCTTTACTCGGAAACGATCAGAACCAATAATACCAAGCCATGTTAGCGGTAGCTGGAATGCAAAACATGGGTAGTAATGGAAACCTCAAAAGACTACGGCGCTACATCTCAAACATGTTCTTTCGAACTGAACATAACCATGTCGCGTTACGAAGACTATCGTCCAATGCTACGACCACTTGTTGGGGATCTCTAACTGTGGCAGCCTATCATATTCATAACCCTCTTAACACCACCAGACAACCAAACCTTCCTGCTTTTGATCCTGAAACAAAGAAAAGCAACCATAAGTGAGGGATGCATTCTATCTATGAAATACTTTCAGTACCCAAGACGATTAAACCGTTCAGAGCATGTCCAAAGTTATTGAACAAGGAGGCAAGCTAGGCAATGGACGAGACCTTTGTGCCCCGCCTCTGAAGAAAGCCGCAACACCCGTAAAATATTCATGCCAGGAAAAGTACATTAATATGGCAAACTCCCTATAAACTAACACAAGATTGTGTTGCTGCTTTATATCCAGGTACCGTTCATCATTCGCTAATGCATGAAGCTTCACCCCATCTGCAACAAAAGACCGCA